CCCGTAAGCCACACTTCCCCCTTTTTTTTCTCTCTCTCTTCACTCTTTCTCTTCCACTGGGCGGATCCCGAGCCCGGGGAGACGTCGGCGAGATCGGAGAGATACATCACCACACAAAAGAAACATTGACCTCTGAAAAACTAAAAGGATGAACTCCCAGCCCTGATGGGATCTGAGAAATAATCCGACCCCCTCGGGGAACACGAGTCATACCTTGTTACACATTCCAGCACGGAAAAGTGTAGAGACAAGAGCTAACGCTCATATAACGCAAAGGGCACGCCACCTCTTAGACCCACTCCAAACGCATTTTACGAGGTCACTGATACACACATTAATAACGCAACTAAGGAATCACGTACGGGAACTCACACGAACCGTAGGCTCTGCTGCAAGGATTGATGACAACACCCATAGCCATATAGGATAACGTAACAGAGACATGGACACATATCACACAAACTACTAACCATCACATAACGCCTAACCACCACGCTCACAAAACAGACCAGCGGGGAAACCCAGCTAAGCTTTATACAAGTAATAAACACTGCCCAATGCTCGCCAACACATCCGCTCGGCAACGCATACCTAACATGACGAACCTGGACAAAAAACTTGTCTCACACGAGCTGCCTTATCGTCTAGCATTTAGATCCCCTCTCAATCTATACACATAGCATGTTGTTGAAACGTATAAACATTTGGAATGCAGAGACCTGCGAGTCTCAAAGTTATACTTAGATACCCTACGTAACTCAAAACCATGCCTTGGGACACAAACACACAATAACGCAAAACAAAACAAAGCAAAGTAATAAAGGAAATTAGAAGGGGGGAGGGGGAGAGGGGAGAACAGAATGGGGGGAAAAAGGGAAACAACAACTTTACTGCTTAAAACACTGTACAGGATTGCCGCTTTCGATTTGTAACTTTTGGTTTACTGTACAATGACTAAAAAAATTGTAATAACGCAACTATGTAATTTCATCTTGTCATTCAATAAAAAAAAGATTTACAAAAACAAATTGGATAGGATTCTCAGGTCTTCTTTAAAAAGAAAACTCTAACTATAATGTTTCAGTTTACAGTTAAAACTCGGTTTTAAAGTTTGCACTGTAAACTAAAACTTTTAAAAGAAATTTTAAAAGTTTAGTTTTATTTTTAAAGACCTAAAAATGATATCCTAGGCGTACGCAGCAGGCGCGGCCCGTTTAAACATTTCAATTCTTGTTTCACACGCTATTGCGTGAGATGGTTCATTTGTGTGGGCACAGCTTCTTCTTTGTCAGGAGTGTAGTGTAAAATTATATATATTATTATTATATTCCCTTCTGTCTTGTCGTTGTGTGATTAGTTTCCCAATTTAAAGACAGGGAGCCCCACGTATTGTTCTATAACCAAGTGTCCACTCTGTCAGCTGGGGCCATAACTAATGGCGAAACAGAAAAAAATAGAATATATGCAAACCGGCTTACAATTATCAAATATGCTGCTAATGGCAAAGATCATAAATCATAAATACACTTTATTGGTAAGGGGTTATAGATAACAAGTGGCCCCAGTCTGATAGATGCAGTGCACCAATGAAGGGCTGCACATGGCCCTGTAAATGCATTTAAATGCAGCAGCTGAACGATAACACTCCGCTGCAGTGACTTTAAATTTGACCCTAGTATGTTAAATCCCAGTTTCCTGAGGACAAGAAAAAGAAATAAGAGGCAGTATAATACATAAACAATATGCAAAATGCAAGAACAAAGAAATATGCAGACCGTCTCAATTATATGAATGAAACTTACTGCATTGACTGGAAAAAATATATCTATGTATAGCGCGATGTTCCAAGTATAGAACCTGGCTATTAGAAATAATATGGTCAGAGACCCTAATTAAACAAAGTATATACAAGTGAACCTACAATCCTATGCCAGCCCAGGGTAGTATAGATCAAGAGGTAGTAAAAAAGATAACCTCACTCCCCCTTATCCTAAACACCAGTGCCCAGTGCAGAAAAAACGCCCAACGTACGTTTCGGTGCAGAGAGATGCACCTTCTGGCCCCTGACGAAGGTGCATCTCTCTGCACCGAAACGTACGTTGGGCGTTTTTTCTGCACTGGGCACTGGTGTTTGGAGCACCATGATCACCATTTAATTTAACTTTATTTTATATAGTTTTCTTCTTTTCTTTCCTATGCCTATCTAGCTAGCTTTACAGGGAGAGAGGCTTTATTAATGCTAATTATCAGTCTGTTTTTGACTGATTTTTTTACTTCTATTTTCAGTCCTTATCTCTCTCTGTTTTTCTTAATATGTTTCTGGTGTGACCAGGATACTTCCTAGGATGCATGGATTATAGAGACTTAGCTACTGTATACTCCTATCCCTATAGCAGATCACAATAAAGCTTAATTATAAGGGGGAGTGAGGTTATCGTTTTTACTACCTCTTGATCTATACTACCCTGGGCTGGCATAGGATTGTAGGTTCACTTGTATATACTTTGTTTAATTAGGGTCTCTGACCATATTATTTCTAATAACCAGGTTCTATATTTGGAACATCGCGCTATACATAGATATATTTTTTCCAGTCAATGCAGTAAGTTTCATTCATATAATTGAGACGGTCTGCATATTTCTTTGTTCTTGTGTTTATATTTGGGGTTAAGCCCCTCTGAGACAGCTGGAGTCTCATACTGGTACGTTGGTCTCTGCGTGACCCCTGCAGCCACTGCCCCCCTTTTGGGGAGATTTTGAGGTGGTGGGTGCGGGGGCTATACAGGGACTTGGAACGTTGTGTTCCTTGCTCTCTTTTTCATATCACAATGGTATCGTACACCAGAATTTCTTCACTACCTCTTTCTCTCGGTTTCCTCTAGTTGTCGAAGATATGAGGGGGAGATGGGCAGAATCTTACACATGTGGTGGGATTGTTAAAGGGACACTATAGTCACCAGAACAACTACAGTTTATTGAATTTGTTCTGGTGAGTAGAATCATTACCTTCAGGCTTTTTGCTGTAAACACTGTCTTTTCAGAGAACTAGAATGTTTACATTACAGCCTAGTGATAACTTCCCTGGCCACTCCCCAGATGGCTGTTAGAGATCCTTCCTGGGTCATTGCTGCCTAAAATGCATCCAAACATTCAGTATATCCCTCCCTCTGCATGCAGACACTGAACTTTCCTCATTGAGATTCAATGATTCAATTCATCTCTATGAGGAGATGCTGATTGGCCAGGGCTGTGTTTGAATTGTGTTGGCTCTCCCCCTCATCTGCCTCTTAGTCAGTATCAGCCAATCCTATGGGGAAGCATTGTGATTGGATCAGGCTACCACTTCTGCTGATGTCAGCAGGCAGTGGGCAGGTCTAAAGGAAACCGGGACAAAATAAGCAGCTGCAGACTTGAATACAAGTACGATTTTATATCTAAATATCTATATTTAGAGAGGCATGAGGGGACCAGGGTGGCTAAATGGTGGTCAGGAATACATGTTTCCTTTAAAGTATACAGCCGTTATGGCGGAGGACACTTTGGGGGAGATACGTGACAATCCACCAAGATTTACATTCCAGAGCCACTTACTTCACGACACTAATGTGCCCATATCCTCATACAAAAAAAGTCTATAGTGAGACATTTGCTAAATGCTGCAATGTCACTGGTGCCTACGGGTGGAAAAAACAAGATTCCTACTAAACAAAATTAGTTGGAACGTGTTAAGGAGACTAAGGCTGATGAACACACAATGGCCTTCCTGCAAGGTGAAGTGCTCAAGCTCACTGAACACTTGACTTAGCGGTATGGAGAGCCCTATTAGTGCGTTCGTCGTTTGAATGGAGGGGAGTTAAAGAGAGGGAATGATGGGTTGGATACGGTGTTGCTCCTAAATACACTCAGGACAAAGTTGTTTTCAATTAACCCTTTGGTTCTCAATGTGTCACTTTTTTTTTTCTTGGCAATTATAGCAAGAGGATTTCTGGTTGTAATATAAGAATGTGCTTTCTAGCTTGCAAATTTGGGTGGGGAGGGTGAAGGGGATTGCCATACACGACTGTTGTACTGAAGTATCCGTGATGTTTGTTTGACATAACACGTCACGACACGTCATGTTGAATGACACAAAACAAAATATAATCCCCCCTTTTTTTAGTTTTCTCTGTGAACTTTCTGAAAATGTTCAATAAAACTTAAGATTTATATTATGTATATAATTTTTCTTTCAAATTTAAAAATGAGAATTTTTAGCAGATTCTGTTGCTTACCCCTTGGGTTTGAAATGGTTACATTTTAAAGCATTCAGCAACTGTTGCAAATTTTATGTGCAAAAGGGCAACCAATCTACTCTGTATTTAGTTTGACATCACTTTCTTAAATGTTATTTTTAATTAAGAATACAGGTATACAGGTTTTATACTTTAGCAGCAACATTGAGCAGAAACCAAATACCAACATCTCACAAGCCTTTTTTTCCCCCTGGTTGATTGTCTTTTTTTTTTTTTTTTTTTATTACTGGTATTTATACAGCGCCAACAGATTTGCAGTGCTGTACAATTAGTGGAGGATGTAAAATATACACAGACAAATAAAAAAGGTAGAGAGGGCCCTGCCCGTAAGCGGAGCTTAGCCCATGTGCTTTACAATCTAAAGAATACTGTGGGATTTGAGACAAGTGGTAGTAGGGGAAAAGATACTACTGATACCATTACCAATAAGATGCTGGCATCTGCCATTATATCTTGACAGTCAACAGTCAAGAAGGACCATGTTTTTTGTTTTGTTTCCCTGAAGGTAGACCCTGTTTATTTCTTCCAAACCTCCTTATTAGGGTTGCCTGCAGAATATTTCAACTATGCATTCTTTGTCGTACTGTTTTTACACCGCAAGAGAACACGCCCTGTATTTAATGTCTGTTTCATGATTTCAGTCCGTCCTGTACGCCACACTCCTTGCTCTATTAATCACATACATGTGTTTTGTCCTCACACCCTGTTATGCTATTTCTTTCAAGGTTAGTTAGCCTATGGCAATTCCTATCACCGTCAGACAACACTCGCATATAGGTGAAGGAAGCGTTAGACTGCCCTGAGTTTTATTTTCATGCCTGGCCTATCAGCTATTGTAGGCATTATCTTGAACTTGTGCACTGTTGTTCATGCAGATAACTCACAGTTTTTGTCCCTCCCACATAATACAGGCTGTAATTAAAACTCATTATGCCTCTCGTGTTTCCTGCAAAAAACTACATGGCCTATTATCTTCTATTCACATTGTTGTGTAATGTTTTTATTGTACTTGCCAGAACTGGACAGTGACTTGCCATATTTACCTCGTTCAGTTCAAAGCCACAAATTATTCTTTACTATGTTTTTAAATGTTTTTTTTTTTTTTTTTTAATATTATTTATTTTTACATTTAATGCGGTCTTTCTGCTGCTGCTCCCTGGAATTCATTAATGTGCCAACCATATTTATTATGATTCAGTGAAATATTAAACTAAAATATAAGTAGTACACATATAAAGAGCAATTTGTATAAAAACGGACACAATTATTTATTTATTATTCCGCTATGCTTTCTGTGAGCTGATGTAGGGTCATATGGTTAGTTCTAATCCTTTCTTTTCGTTGCTTTGTAGGTATTCAGGAACCAACACTGGGAATGTGCACATCATTGCAGATTTATATGCAGAAGTCATTGGTGTCCTTGCTCAGTCTAAGTAAGACATGGTGTATATTCACAGCAACAATTTTCTTACGCAGCAAATGAGTCCATTTCTACCCCAGCAATTCCTCCTATTATGTCTTGCAAAGTTATATTCCTTAAAGTCATATCATTTTTTTAATCACTGTTCCTCTGGCATCTCCCCACAGTGCTTTTGATGGGTCCCCTTCAAACACACATTGCACACATGAAAAATCCCTTTCTCTCAAAGCAGAGTCAATACAAAGGTATAGGAAAAATATCTTTATTGCTAAAAGAAAAATAAATGTGCCAGCCAATACAGGCATGTGTAAAACCCTGTGGCACCACTTTGGCTTGTAATAGTGGCACTGCACTTAATTAGCTGCCATATTTTAATTCATTCTGTTATGTATTTTTTGTAACAATAAAGAAGATATCATTTGTATATACTCTACTTTGAGTGCAAGGAATTGTTTGTGTGTGATATTCATTGTCAGAAGAGACGTGGTTGCGTGTTTGACTCGGAAGGCCGTCCAATTGTTATTGAAATTGTCCAGAGGGCCGGCTTACTGGGGTTTTTATTCAGTATACTGGTAATTGTAGAAAATAGAAAAGACGTTTACAAATTTTAGGCCAAAATAAGTGTTAGCCAAGATAATGGAGTTTTTTAGTGTTGGGATTTGAATGTAAAATGTGCAGTTCCCTTGCCAATTCCCAGTTCCATTTTTGACGGAGACTTTTAAAATTGGTTTTATTGTTTTTAGATTTCAGGCTGTGAGGAAAAAGTTTGTCACAGAATTAAAAGAACTTCGACAGAAGGAGCAGAGCCCTCACGTGGTGCAAAGCATCATCAGCTTGATCATGGGGATGAAATTCTTTCGTGTAAAAATGTATCCTGTTGAAGAATTTGAAGCCTCGTTTCAGTTCATGCAGGTAATTTTACACTTATGTGACTGGTAACATACCCAGTAAAGCGGATAAGAGAGCTTTGCTTTGTGGATTTCACCTTCCCTGGACTTGTTGCGTATTTGGGTTAGATAATCCTTTATTGTGATAGTCTGATATGGTATTGGTTTTGCATAGGTTAAAATTCTGACTTAGGAGACTGTTTCAACAGGTACGCAGGGTTTATTCACTAAAGGATTTGTTGGACAAGGTAAAAGAGTGGCACATTTCGTCCAAAAAAAGCAAAACTGAAAATAATGGAATAGTTTTTCCACAGTTTGGCTGTGCTGTAATGGTTATGATTGTAGTCAGACCCTTTCAGAACAGTTCAAATTGTTACCCAGCCAACCAAGGGCTGGATGCCCCTCCTTAGGAGCTTATGTTAGCTTTCCTCAGCTAACTAATAATACACACAGACTATAAAACATATATTTTATTTTAAATGACAAAAAGCAAGTTTTCCTTTTAAGTTAATCGTAGATGGGTGTGGAATTGAAGAGCTTGAAGAGATTCTTCAATTTGTAATAGGGACTATCTCTCTTGAAAAAGCGCCCTTGATAGTTGTTGTATATGTCGGGTATATATAATGCTAACATGAGTTATTGTACTATTATTCTCAGGAATGTGCTCAATACTTCTTGGAAGTTAAAGACAAAGACATAAAACATGCACTAGCTGGTTTGTTTGTGGAAATCCTCATCCCTGTGGCTGCTGTAAGTATACCTAGTTTAAAGTAATTAAAATTACATCTGTAACCTTAGCTGAATATAGATATTAATTGTTGATAATTAGTCTGTAAAGTGTAAATATATTGCTATATATCTCTCCTACATGTCATTTGGAGATTCCTGTGGCATGGTAGGGGAATTCTTTTCCTCCAGTGCTATTTAACATTATCCAGGCAGGATTAGTAAAATCGTGTTTTGCTCGGTGATAAAAAGCACTCAAGTATAATTGATGTAGCCTTCCGTTATAGTTTTATAAAGCCATATAAAAGCAAAATCTCATAAACTGCCTGTAAGAACATGACAGACACACGCACAACATTGCAATTAGCTGTTAAAAATTACCGGTACTTGGCTTTATTCTTTCCCTATTACATTTTTTTTTTCTTCTCTTTCATGATCTATCATAATGACATGATCTCATTTGGGGGTGGTCAAACTGTAGACACCCTTCTCCAACTATTGTAGAATACATCTCTGCTTTAAGGCTGGCAAAGTATAATGGAAGTTGTAGTCCTGTGACCGCTTGGGATTACCTTTTGGCTACCTGGGTTGGATTTACATATCCCATTGCCAAGAATTGGTTACAGTTTTTATATGAAAAAATGTTGTGCCTCTGAGTGCTGTCGATGAAAGCATAACTTTGTCCCCTCCTCCAGCGCCTTGAATATTAAGACACAGTGAATGCATCCCACCACTGACTGTTAGTATTGTAGACAATGGGAGAGATTTATAATAGTGTGGTAATTAGAAGAGTGGTGCAAAGTTTACCAACCAAGGGATGTACAGGATGATGCTGTTGGTTGCCATAGGGACTGCCTCGTTTATAGACCTTTGCAACTTTTATATTAACTCCCCAACCCCCCTTCTTCATTATTTCCATGCGTTATTACTGTCAAACAATTGAATGAGAGGTAATGTTTTTCCATGCTGCTGTGCTTCTTATAACATGATGTTCTCTTTCCCAGGCTGTAAAAAATGAAGTAAATGTGCCGTGTTTAAAGAATTTTGTGGAGATGCTCTACCAGAACACATTTGAACTGAGCTCACGGAAGAAGCATTCCCTGGTAATATATAATGTATTTGGCAGAATAAGAGACCAAGAGAGAGCCTAAATTGCAGTTTATGAAAATGACATGCACAAAGAGTGACTTTTCTATTGGCCAAGCATTGGTGATCTGTGATTTCGTTCAGAAGGGTGTAAAGTATATTATTAGGCAAAACATGAAGGAGAGTTAATGATCATGTTGTTTTTGGTGCCCTTACATTACTTCTGATACGCTGTTGCAGTAGATTAACAGATGGGACCTGTTCTGTGCTGTTACTTCCTGAACTATGAACTTGCAGTAACAAACCGAAAACACCTAGAGAGAAGTCGCGTAAATATGTGATGCTTTATTAAGTGCCTCTTTTTTTGTTTCTGTTACGAACCAAAATACAGCAAGATTGATCACACTCCCTGGTGTTGAAACTCGGTTTGTACTTTTTGAGTTTGTAGTAGGTTTAGGATGCATGCGTGAAAATACTTACAAGGGATATTGAATATAATTATTTGATATAGTTGGGTATTCATATTGACCATCAGGAGAGAGGTGGTGTGAGGGGTGACTGGGGCACTAACATTGTGAGACAGAAGACTCCAGGCACTTATGTTATATATAGGTGCATGCATATTATATTTAGTCAATATATGTAAATGCATGTACCTATATATAATATCTGATTTCAAATATTTTTTGTATGTCTGTATTTATGCACATCTTTGTAATTATTGTGTGCAATGTTTGTGTGACTGCATAGATAGGTGTACACTTGCCTATTTATGCAGGATTAGATTTCAGGTGAGCTGTCAGAGAGAGAATCAGAATCTGTTTCTTTATTCCGCGGCTACAGTTGAATGACCTTGCAGTATATTCTGGAGGTGGTGAACTCGGTGAGAATTTGGTGTTGCACACAGTGCACAATGCCAATGTCACTTAGGCTCACTTAATGTTTTTTTTTTTATTATTGGGGGCGGGCGGAGGGGTAAAAGCAGCAGTATACATAAAAATCGCACCAGAATGTAATTTTAAATGGTAAAACATATTTTTCCTTTTGTTTCTTGAGCCAGACACCAGAAGACTGGTACTGCTGCTGGTTTCTTTTTGAATGTTATAAACCGTCAAAGCACTACTTGTGTTGCAACCTCAATTGTTTTTGTTTTTTTGGGATCTTAAAATCTTGTGTTGGGTTTGGACGCAGCTTGTTCTGTTCTTCTCTTCCGATCATCCTCTCAGGTCATGATGCAAGATGCGGTTGCTCTGTATGAATTTATTAAAGGTGTTTTATTTGTTCCATCTCTTTTTCCATGGACAACAAGTGACCTCTCCCTGTAGGCTATTATGTAGAGAAGAACCATATATTAGAACACATAATTCAGTAGTAATTCATAGAAGTTTAAACCCTGTCTAGGGCCTTAATCTGCAAGCAATCCATTTAGATCTCCATAATCCCACCTGCTAGTTATATTTTCCAACACACATTACTCATTTAGATAACATCTAATTCCAGAGGAAAGATCTTGTTAAGTAAATGTGATCTAAGCAGATGAAAAGAGCAGTATGTCAGACTGTCTTTAGATGGATATAATAAAATTAAAGGCATTTAAGTGAAAGTGCTCTTGGAGTAATAAAAGTTCCCTATGAAAGAGTCATATCTAACATAAATCAAGATTAGATCTTTAAAGTAAAGTATGCTTGACTGATGGGTAAATATTTATACCCGTAGTACTATTTATAATATTGTGAGAATTTCCCATTAATTTCCTAGCCGTGGATGATTTGATTACTAGATGAGTGAGCTATGCAGGTTAAATGTCTTATGTCTTCAGCATAACAGTATTCTTTATCAAAATCTTGCTTTACATTTATTGTACAACATGCATCACATATTGAATTAGTTATGGCAATAAAAGTATTTTGGCTCGTGGCTC